GTACTGAGTTGCCGCCATGTGATTGGCTGATTAGAAATTAAGTGTTAACGAGCAGTTGGACAGGTGTACCTAATAAAGTGGCCGGTGAGTGTATATTTATGTATTAAATACTCCCTCTCTGGTAACTGTCGTGGCCAAAACAGTTGCACTGACTTTCATTAAAACAACATATACTCACTTTAAATACAGTTTAAAACTATTATTTAATGTCAGCATTTCCTTTTGAAAAAGTGTTATTTGACGTTTGTACTTGAATCCACCATATTCAGTTTCTCAAATCCTTGTAATGTTGAGATTTTGTTGCATGGAACCATCGGGGATGATTTGTGTGTGTGAAATTAYTTCTGTTAATCATGATTAAGATGTTGATCAGGAATTTATTTCATATATACACACACAAGTAAATAAATAAACTKATTTATAAGTTATCACAGAAGGAAGCAATTTCAGGAGGATCGTTGCAGACATTCCCATTAATTTTTAGTTTGTGTGTAGTATTAGAAATAGAGCGACTCTTTTCTAATCTAAAGATGCAGAATTTTGGTCACGTTTTTCCAACCATCTTTTTCTAAATCTAATGAAGAAGGCTCTTTCTGCTCTAACCTTGTACATGTCATTTAGCTATTCTGTAATTCTGGAAAATATATTCTCTCCTGATCAGACATTTGATCCACTGATTTCAGGGATAGGATAGTTAAATTGTCTAATACTGTAGCTGAYGCTGGAATTTTTATTGCGTCAAAATGTCAATGCAATGTACAGAACTTCAGAAAATGAAATAATGCCAGGGGGTAACAATAATAAATAAATGAAATACATAGTGCATGAACAGAGATTAGTTCAGGAAGTACAGTTGAATTTTAAAGTGTTTGTGACATGCATAATCTTCAAATACAAAAAGTCAAAGAAAACATCTTTATATTTAAGAAAGTTGGAATAATTCACACGATTTAACCAATTTTGTCTCATAACTGATAGATTTTGTTTTGAACTTGGCTCAGCCAAAGTGAAACAGGAAGTGACATCAAAAGGGAACTCTTCAACAAAGAAAACTCTCTGGTCTTTGTTTATTGAAACAATATTATTTAAACTAACTCCTCTTTGTCTCTCTAGTAGTGACTCAAAATAATCTAAAGGAACTTCAGATTCTTCTCTACAGTCTGTTGTTGGCTGTTGTAGCATCGCTCTGATCACATGCAGACATTCCCCTTTGACATCACTTCCTGTTTCTTCACATGCAAAAATCTCAACAACTGTTCATCTCAGCGACATGAAATTTGTTTTGTAATATTTCATCAGTGTCCTCTTTCTAAAAATGCGTTCATWTTTATTACAAAAATTTGATGTCACGGGCACTTTAAGGCTTCGTCTTTACAGCTTTGGGATTAGTTGAGGTCTGAATGGTTTGTGCATAATGTAGCAATTCAGACAAAAATAGAAAAAATTTGCTTACTTGTGTTCAGGCATCTCAGACAAAGCACTTATGGAGTCTTCAGGGTCATATGTGGGATCTTGTGGGCTTTGTACATTCATAATAGAGCTGCCTTCTAATGAGTCATMACCCACTTTGGACCCCTCCAAACGGGGTCTCTTTATTGGTGTCAATTCTTCAGGAATAACAGACAACAGTGGTCGCTTTACTGGTGTGGATGACAATAAGGTGTGCGTTTGCTCAAATGTAGTTGTTGAAGTGTTGGTGCTAAYGTCAAAACACTTTGGGGTCACCTGTATTCCTTTGAACAAATAAAATTCACACTATCAACAATGACACATTWCTTGACTAAATGTAGTTAATACATAAAAAATAAATTGCTGCACTGCAGATACAATATTTCACTAACCTTTACTTTTAACATGGGGTTGGAGAGTTGAAATGGATAGTTGTGTCCCAACTGAGCGCATGTTGGGTTTGGTTTGAGACAAAGTGCTGGTAAACGTCGGCTCTTGCCTTGTTGCTTCAGACTTCTGGGAAAAAATAAATAAAAGCTTTACTTTACATGACCAAAAAATGTTTAATAACCACAAACATTTATAAAGTTTACCTAACTTGCAATTTGATACTTTTACCAGTGTTTATCAAAAAGAAAAAAATACACTGACTATTGTAGCAATAGGCAAAAAAAAACTTTAACAACATCATAGTACTCTGTAACTTGTACGCTAAAAAGAAGTAGTTTTCTTTCGATCATAAAAAGATAATACAAAATAATGATTTTAATATCATTAATAAAAAATCTGGAACAATGTCAAAGATAATGTAATGTATTTCACTGTAGTAATTAAATATGAAATTATTTTATTAATACTACTTAGGAAGGTGTAACAAAATTAAATTATTACGATTTACACAGCTATTTTTACTTCAAGTAACTTCAACAACACTCAGAGGATTGTTTTTAACAGTAATTTTTATTGTATTACTGAACGAATATTTATAAGATACATTAACAATTTTACTTTAGTCAAAATTGTAGGCTACTCTACCCACTTCCATCACAAAAACGAAGAAAGAAAAGTCTAGTCACCAGATACAGCCGCAATATTTTATTTTGTTAAAGCAGTTCTTTGTATAAAAGCTTGTTTTTGTAGCTGTTGTTTTTAATGATTTCACCCTCTATGAGCCTGATGTAGAATGTATAGATCATAAA